ATGATAGAGTCTATAATATGTGTGTATATATATACCCTCTGGTAAATTAACATAGACCCTGGCAGATAGGGGTTGGAAGACTAGTTTCCATTAAAAATTGGCTATTTTCAGGGTCTATGTTTATTTACCAGAGGGTGTATATATATATATATATATATATGTACAATCTATTGATCTCTATTTATCTATTTATCTATCTATCTATCGATCTATCAATCTACCTACCTACCTACCTACCTAGCTAGCTAGCTAGTTAGCTAGCTAGCTAGCTATCTATCTATCTATCTATACACCTACATGTCAGCCAGTGTTGGAAGGAATGTAGCTAGATTGGGGTCATAATGCCTGCTTAGTTCTGGATGATTGCAACCTAGAATAGGGATAACTATTAACCAACCAGTGTCACTCGTGTCTTCGGCTCTCCGATTGAGATGAAGAAAAACAACCTTCCACATGACTTATATGCTTGACGTGTGGCAACTTGCAAAAACAAATAGAAAAACATATATCAACGTTTTAGTAGGATTCTACTTTCCTCTTTCTAATGGATCTAATGGGTTATTTGATGATGCTTGATGTTGATGTGTGGTGTGTCATTCTTTAAAGATCTTTGGCGCATACGCTTCAGCATGTGGACTGGTTGTTGCCAGTTGCTATTGAGCCTGACTCACTTCAGCACAAGCGACAGCCAAGAGAAGATGACTTTGTCCATGAAGTTTTTACTCCGGGGCATAGGCCAGAGGTGGAAAACAATGGTTATAATATGTTATAATACTATGGGACTTTGATTTCCATAATCTGAGATGGGGCCCCTACAACTATTTAAACTATTTAATTTCTGTGGGATGTTTGACCCAACGTGGTTTGTGATCTGAGATCATCTGAGTCATATCTGGGAGAAAAAACAGAACTGCTTCTGCAGAGGCGTGAGAAGATGTCGTTGACTGCCTACTCACACCTTTCCCTGCTGCCAAGAATAGATACTGACGCAGGGCCATTCCCTGAGAAATTCTAGTTAATAATTATAGAGTCTATTCCCTGACCTAGTTCTAGATTTATATACACATTATATTTGTTCATACTTCCCTGACAGGTCATAATTCTTTGATTTGATGACTGCCAATGTCTTCTTCAAAGAATAACGACCTGTGAAATCACCAAGAAGATAGTCCAAGTGTCACATCATGTCAAGGACTTCATTCCCAAATGGGCCACCATGGTATATTTTATGTTCATGGTCATCCATCCCATAGTGGAACCCTTACAATGAATATATGTATATTAAATATCTATGTATCTATATATCTATAATATATATATATATATATACAATTATACATATATGATGTACATAAGTCCCATAAATTCCATTCTGGATTTATCTGGCCATCCACCAGTCGGACTGGATTGGGGGTCCCAGCTGTGCATCAGGTCCAGGTCGTCTTGGACCTCTGGTTTTTTTGGGGAGGTTTTTGGAAAAAGACAAGGCTTAAAACTATAGGAAACTATAGGGCAAACTGGGTTAATGTAGGAAAAACTGGGGAAATATAGGAAAATCTGGAAACATATAGGAACTTCTGGGAAACTATGGGAAACTAGTTTGATGGAAATCGGTTCTGAGGTTAAGCCACCCCCGAAAAGCATTGTTTGTCATTGGGATCATCCTCCCAAATATGGTTGAACGAAATGGGCGAAAGCACCAACCTACGATTTCCCGTGAAATGAGAAATCACTACCACAGTAAGCCATACAGTATGTCAAGTATTCTTTTGTGGGGGGAGAGCGAAAAACATCACACATGGAGAGATGAAACAAACGCGGAGAAATTGGTGGATTTGAAGGATATATATATATATATCTGAACAAACAAAGTCCGAAAAATATCAAACAAGAAAGATACGGCGGAGTTTGCTTCAGGGAGAAGTTTTTGGCATGTCGATGCGCGATCTATCACAGGCAAACAAAACACATCCATTCATGGCGTGGCCTGATCAACCTGATCCATTCAACCAATTGGGATGTCTATAGCAATATTGTCAATATTTAATGACCCAATTCACAGACAAGTAAACATTCCAATGTGAACATTCCTGGTGTAAAAATATCGTTTTTTTCCGTGCTCTCATCCAAAGAATCTATCCTCCAGCTTGCACCCCATTCCTGTGCGACAATCAAAATGGTGCCCCTGTTCGGAATAGCAAAGTTGGTGGAATTAAAACACTAGTAACTGTTGAGTTTATGATACCCTCTGGTAAACATACAAAAGACTATTGAAAATGGCCCATAGAAATAGTTGATTTACCTATTAATAGCATGGTGGCTTTCCATAGTTATGTAAACGTTTACCAAAGGGTACATGACACACCTATACAGTGGCTACCCAGGGGTTGTGGCCAACAACCACGCTGAGCTTCCACACGACGTCGGACAACTGACCTGGACGCGAGGATTTGCAAAAACATAATTAAAGGACCGGATAACCCCACATGTTACCAACTTC